TACTACCAGTAGTGCTGATACTACTGAAACTGGTGCTGTAATTATCAGATTGTTTTTTTAAGTAAAAGTGGCAATATCACAATGTAAAAATAATCCTGTACAAGAAACATTTATAATTTTGCCTGTGTAAACGTACAGAGCTTTTAAGTAGAAAATGTTTTTCAAGTATCAAAAGTAAAAGTATTCATTATGCAGACAAACGGCCCCTGTAATTGTTCATACATCAGTGGATTATTATTACTGATGCATTCATGTGTAGATGGCGTTTTACTGTTGTAGTTGGTAAAGACAGAGGTAATTTTAACTACTATTGGGTAGTTAATAACAAATATTCTATAAGATGATCATGTTTTGTATGTAAAACTGTGATCTCCAAATCATAGCTGTCAAAAAAGTTTGTAAAAAGTACAATATTACTGTCTGAATTACTAGTACTTCAAAACTGTACTGAAGTACAGTTGAGCAAACATAGTAAGTAACTCTTCACCAATGTGACGACTCCTACTACTTCTAGTGTCACAGCTTCTGGTTTGATTGCTGCTTCTGCTACAGCTGCCTCTAATAATAAATCATATTATGAACCATATTTTTAAATCAGTGTCTGAACCTATCTGCTTAGTTGTGATTTAAGCAAATTTAATGACTTTTATGCATTGAGTTTGGTGTAGTGCCAAACTGTACAGGGTCAGGTATGTAATGTATCTCACGTCTACTCACTGATTTTTTTGTGTGTGTTGGTGTGTGTGTCAGCTCTGGCCATGCCGTACCTGCGCAGTGTGGATGTGTCCTGGTGTAAAGTGGTTGGTGGTCATTTAGCGTTGCTCCTGGATGCTTTGCAGCCGTCTGTCATCCTGGAGCTCCGCCTCAGCAGCTGTGAGCTCACCACTGATGACCTGCATCACCTAGGTAACACACACGCGCACACACACACACACACACACACACACACACACAGAGTTTTTTTGATATAAAAGAAACCCCCAACAAAACATACAATTTTGTTAAAATAAAGGGTTTTTCATTTGGGCGGAAAACTTTTTAGGCTTAAAATAAGTTGGTCTTCATCTCTGTGAAATTATCAAACTCACATTAGACTAACTAAGACTGGCCTAACACCAATGGCCAGTTTGAAACATCTTTGTGAAACTGGTTGTTGTGCATCCTGGTTCACTGTCATTGTCATGGTTTAGTGGGACACTGTTGTCAGTAACACCTGTGCTTTTCCAACTCTGACAAAAAAATGTCTGCTGAATGTACTTCAGCAGAATGTACTTCACAAACCATGCTCCTGTGTTTTAGATGACTTTTTCATTCTAGGCGGCCTTTGGCTTCCATTTATTTCTATGCACACTGTAAATATACTTGAAGACCACTGAAATCTCCTTGAGTTATATAATCCATCACAGTGAAATTAAAGGCTGCATTCATTTCTGTAAAAAGTATTTTATTTTTTTGTGGGTTTGTGCTAGTAATTGGCAATCAGATAGTATTTGATAGTCCTGCAATCTTATTTTAAAGGTCCAGTTTTGGTATATTTAAATAGGGACATTCGCAATTTGGCATTTACCACTCTAGGCACATCTGGCAAAAACTAACCCTGCCTTCATGATGGTTGTAATGTTCAGTTTTTGTTGAAACTGTTTTAGAGAGGTGTTAACTTCATGATCATTTTGGAGGGTGTAGTTTGTGGTGCATTGAATTGTATTGCATAATATTGACAGGTGTCCATCCTATTCATATGACAACTTGACCCGATGCTGTGGCATTGTTTCAAACAAAGCGGACTGGGGAATTATGTGCCAAAGCCACATCAAAGCCACCAGACTCCGTGACAAACAGTCATTTTTACTCACTGAACACAGGAGCTGCTTCGATCCGTTACTTAGTTTGTGTTATTTAGTGACTTTGGTTAATCTGAACCGACAACACCAAAGCCACATAATAACACAAACACCAAAATAACAGTTTGAGGCAGTGGTAGAACAGCAGCTCCTGTGGTCAGTGATGTTAAATCAGTTTTTCTCAGTGGGGTTAAAAAACGGTTAAATTTTCCTGTTGGAAATCGCTGTCTGACATTATGGTGAAGCAATGAAAATATTCAAAATATAGCGTACAGTTAAACCAATATACATTATTGTAGGTGGGACTTTTTTTAGGTGCCTTAAATACATTTTGTTGATGACCCCTCCACAGCAGTGCATTTTGTAGCTTTCGTGTTGGACTCCATCCTGCTTCTCCAAACTGAGGGCGTGCTGACTGACATCTACTGTATGTAATATACTGTCTATGGATAGGTACCCCATACAAGCCCACTTCAAAAAATCTAAACTATTCCTTTAACAGTAGTCGATTCAGGAAACTTTTAAAATAACACTCTTTAATATTTGGGGGGAAGGTATCAAGTATTTTCACGTCAAAAGGCTCAAGTCCAAGTGAAGTCATGACTTATTGGTGTTAAAGTCCAAGCCAAGCTGCAAGTCTTTTTATGATTTTGTCAAGTTGAGTTTAAAGTCATCAAACCAAGTCCTCACCTCTGCTAAACTGTACATCTCTGCTTAAGTCTTAATTCCTCATTCTGTGCAGCTGCAGTGTGCAGACGTGGCTGCCTGTCCTCTCTGCGGGTGTTGGATCTGTCCTACAACGGCTTGGTGGGAGATGATGGCTGGTCCGCCCTGTTTGCTGCAGGAGGCCTGGGCTCACTGGAGGACATCGACCTCAGCTTACGACCATCGACCTTCGCTCCCTGCGCAGCCTGGCTCCCGGCGCTGCTCTGTGCCCTGCCTCGGCTTTCTGCGCTGACTCACTTGGCGGTGCAGCGGTGGACTATCGGCTCTAGGGACAGAAAGCAGCTGGACCACTGCTTGAGGAAGAGGAGCGTCCTGCTGGAGTGGGATCCACCAAATAAAGACACAATGGCATCATTTAAGGTGACCAATCAGGAGAGTCCTGAGGAGTAGGGATTCAAAACCCTGAAGATGCTGATCTGATCTCATATGTCACTAATAAAGGACACCTGTAATAAAAACCATCACCAGCACTCTGAGATTTAAGCAGACACATGACTGCGCCCTGGATAATTGTCACGTATAGTTTCCTTATATAGTGATCAACTGTTTTGTTAAATACGGAGCACGATAACACAAATTTCACATTTCATAAGGATCTCCTCTCAGGTCTAGAAATTTTTTAAAAATCCTTGAAATTGAATTTTATTAATATATTAATTTATTAATATTTTCTAGAGTGTGAAAACTTTAAAAATTGGGCAAAAATATCTTGGAAAACTTGTTTAGCCTTTTACTTTTAAAGGTCCAGTGTGTATGATTCAGAGGGTTATATTGGCAGAAATGGAAAATACTATAATAAGTATGTTTTATTTAGTGTATAATAACTCAAAAATAATCATTACATTTTCTTTACCTTAGAATGAGCCATTTATATCCACATAGGGAGTGGGTCCTCGTGGATCGCCGTGTTTACAGCCATGGTTCTACAGTAGCCCACAACGGACATACCAAACACTGGCTCTAGATAGGGACATTCACGTTTTTGCATCAGTCAACGCAGTTAGAAGCCCTGTCGTGACGAGAGTGTTACAAAAATACTGACTTCTGCAGATACTTCAGCTCCTGGTTAAAACCTCCTGAACAAAGAACACTGAAGGAGTTCTAATAGGAAGAAGTTTCAGCTGGTTGCAATCTGCAGTCTTTTTGGCTAGATGCCTCTAAATTCCCCAAAATCTTACACACTGAACATTTAACCGCAGATTGATTATGGCCTAATTCATATTCATGTTGCCCAGATAATTTTGTAAGCATAAATTTAACAATTAACTAAAATTTGGTTTAAGAATTAGGACTTAGGGTCAGTCAATGTGGCTGAAATTAACATAAATATTTAAATATGTTTGTAATATCTATATGCAAGATATGGTATTCATAATAATTCTAAAATAGTCAAACTCACAACCAATGAAATGAACTGTGTTCACTGTGTCCACAATTTTATTGGAGAACAAGGCAAACTGTATCTGCTGAGGAACATTTTATTTCTGTGACTGGTTTCCCTGAAGTTATGCTGCAATCTATTGCAAGTCAGAAGTCGCCGACTCAGTATTCCTGACCACTGACCTAGATGTGTCCCAGTGCATCTGCTGGGGAAAACATGGATGCGCGCAGCAAACTGATGATCGTATGTCATGTCTCTGAGCTTCACAAACATCTACAGAGGCTTAGATCAATTACCACAGTGACATTAGTGAAGAGAAACACTGTATAAAATAAGTCATTTGTCTCGCTCGTCTTTGCTCCCTAAATTATCAAACTACAGCTTAGATTCGTGTGAATGGGTGCTGAGCTGAACAGTGTGACCTACCACAGCCAACATCACATTGTTGTGTGCATTCATTTTGTGTGGACAGAGATGGAGATATGCATGCGTGCAAAGACTTATACTGTATCAAGCACAAATCAACTAAATGGAAATGGTAGCTACAATGTTATTACAGCACATTTCACGCCCCAAAAAAGTACATCAGATGTAATAACGCCATGTTACTGTGACGTCAGGTGCGTCTATGTCAGTGAACTCACTAGATAGATCGATAGAGAGATAGAATGACCATTCCATTGTGCTTTTCCATGTGAACGTCTTATTTTTTTCGAGTTCCAACTTCAGCAGATTGCAGCGTGTTAACCAAATATGGGGGTGGTCACACAGAGCACTTGGCCTCCGCATTCTTCTCTGGGCTCCTTTCATTTGTTTTTAATTGCAGTTTCTTTGTTGCCCAGTTTGATAAAATCTGTGATGAACTTGGATGCTCTTATGGAATACTTGACTATCTAGCATGCATGCATAGGTTTATTTGACAAGCTTAAATCTTTGCACTTTACATTATACACCCTTAAATCTATGCACTATACACTTAAATGTAAATAAGATATAAGGATTTACATTTTGGAGGCACCTTTGATTAAAAAAATCTCACAGGCAACAACTGATTGTTCAGAAGACTTATTTTATCACCACAAGTTTGAGAGTTCACAAGATCTTTCTTCTGGCACATATACATTGTGTTGTTTGTTTATTTGATGTGTGTGCATTATAGTCAGGTCTCTTTAAGTCTGTTGGGATTCCGGTGGGTGTGAGGAGGTTTTGAGATTAACGAGAGCCCTAACAGGACTGTATGGGAACAAGCTGCTGACTCTCAGTGTGTGGTGCAGAGGTAAAGTCAGGGCTGGCAGTGTGGTGTGCCAGCAGGTCTGTTGCAGTGTCGGAGGTGGGGGATGTTTCTGGTGCGGGGCTGTTTGTGCTGCAATAGTGTCTCCTCAAACAGTGGAAGACCTCAGCCAGAAACACCTGACCATCCACCTCGTAGGCGCTAACATCCGTCTGCTCTGGAGGAAGACGGCCGCTGGCGATCAGATCGCTGAAGGCCTGAAGGGGTAGAATTAAAGTTATGAGGTAAAATATGACTGTGTCTCTGTTGCAGTTCTGAAAGGTGAAAAGGATGTGTAGAAAATGTCACCTGACAGACAGACTCCTCCAAGTGGTTCCCCCAGATGTAAATGTGGTTCAGAGATGTATTAACTGTCAAAGCATGAGCCAGAGAGAGCAGGCCCTCCGTCCTGATGTTGTTACTGCTGACAGAGAGCCTGACAGACAGAGACAGTGTTTATATGTCTCCTGTAAACACTTTCAGATGCTACAGGGGAGTCTGATAACAGATAACAATTAAGTCATCTTAACACTGTAAAATATGTGAAATAATGGATATTTTAACCATTCATTAAAAATCATTAAAAATAAGTAAAACCAGGATATTTTCTCCTCTTCAAATTTCTAAAACTTCTTAAAATGAGGAAAACAGGATTACATTTTCTCTTCAAATACCTAACAGGTTATTTTATCCCCTTTTAATCTCTAAAAGTCCTTTAATGAAAGTAAAAACATGAATTTTTCCCTCCTCAAATCTCTACAAATCCTTTTAAAACAAAATTATTTCCTCTTTTTCAAATCTCTAAAAAATCCTTAAAGTAAGTTTAATAAAACTGGATACTTTGTCTTGTTCAGACATGATCACAGTCATACACAATTAGACATTCCTAACTTTAGGAAGCTAGAAAGGTTGGGAGTCAGTGCCCTGACACCAAGGTGGCACAGAATACATTACGTCTTAAAAGCAACAGCGGGTATGAAGAAAATGTGCCGTTAGCCAGAGGGTAGAATGCCCCTTTAATGGTTATCTAATGTTGCAGGGATGATTTTTGTCTGAGTGTGTTGTAGGGATGTCCCGATCCAGCTTTTTCACTTCCGATCCGATACCGATATTACAGCCTTGAGTTTTGGCCGATACCGATACCAATCCGATCCAAGCGCGTATTATACATATTCACTTATTTTGTTGTCAGTCATGTTAGAAAAGGTTTGATCAAGCAATATCACTCTAACAAGAACAACTACTTAATCGGGTTAGTTAGAATGATCCACAACAGCTGGTATGAGAAACTGACCTGTTAACAGGGTTAAATAAACAAACTTTAAACTTGAACATTAACATTAAATAAAAAATATAGCTGGTTTGCTTTGGCTGCTTTGGCCCCTTAATAAATAGAAAATAAATCAACACAAGAAATCTTTAAAATGTCTAATATTGAAATTAAGACAGAAGCAAGACTCCACACACTTGTGCTTTGGTCCCCTAATAAATAAAAAATAGATTAACACCACAAGACATTGTTGACATTTAACAGACAATGCAGCCTTTTCTTTTCAGTTATTTTAGTAGTCAGTGCCAGCCTGGTGCACAGGCACACAATATTGTAAAACTGTTTAAACAAGCAATAGTCCATCCATGGCTCCAGTTTCACTAATTGTGCCCAAAACAATGCCATCAGTGCTCTTTACTTAAACAGGAAGAGTGTAAACCAAATAAAAATATCACTCTGAAAAAACCAGATCAGAAAACAAATAGTCAGTTAACTAAGTTGACCACTACTCTTCCTACCCTCCCTGTGTGTCTGCCATCTGCATGCTGGCCTGGTGGATTGATAGTAAGAGCTGGAGCGGATCACTGGAATGGACCGCTTGAATTGCGGAGCGCTGGGCTGGCTGGAAAACCTGGATCGGTCCGTGAAAAACTGGATCTTCTTGGATCGGCATTTTTCCATGCAATCCAATCCCATGACGATGCCCGTTTTTTGCTAATATCGGCGGCCGATACCGATCCGAATATCGGATTGGGACATCCCTAGTGTGTTGGACTCACTCTCTCAGGACACAGCCTGGCCAGGTAAGGGCCTCACTCAGGTACACAGCACCTTCATCTTCAATCCGATTGGACGACAGATCTATGACCTCCAGGGTCAGGTTCTGCTTCAACAGCTTGGCCAGATGATGCATGCCATCACGAGTCACTCGGTTACTGAAGACGACAAAGAGAAGACTGTTCAGTGGATTCTGAAATGTAACTGTTTCACTCCATCTATCCAGAGGATGAGGAGGTTTTTAAGAATAAACAACTTGCTGTAGAGAATGATTTTGTTCCTACCAGCACAGGTCCAAGTAGCGCAGGCTGTGGTTGAGCCGCAGGCCTTCAGTCAGTCTCTCCATCCCGGTGTCCGTCATCCCCATCTTCCCCAGGTGGAGCTCCACCAGGCTGCTGTTCACTGCCAGCATCTCAGAGAAGTGCACCGCCCACTCCTCCTGAGACAGACAGAGAGCTTCAGGTTAGAAGAGTCATATATCTGTCTGCTGATGTATATGAGCTTGTACATGTATGCTGAGCTTGTATTATTTATCAAATGTGATTTTGTGTGTTGAATATAACAGTGTGGTGCTCATTGTGTTTGTACCTGGTGGCTGAAGAGCAGTGGCCTGCTGATATCAACAGAGCAAAGAGTTTTGTTGCTTTTCAACATGATAGCAAATGCTATCACACTCTGAGTGGCCTGCAGGGACTGAGGCAGCCAACACAACACCCCTTATTATCAATGTAAAATCAAAGGAAGAAAATAAATATTCATATATATTATTTTTGAGGTTAATTTTGTGTAACAAATTATCACCTAGCAACAGTCTTTGGGGCTGAAAAATGAAGCCAAAATGGAAGTGCCAAAAACTGCAGTTCTTGTAATGCCCACTGGAGGCTGGCTCCAAGAGTGAGTCAGCCCCCACAGACCCCCATGTTAAAATGCCCAACATTACAGCAGAAATAAGCATGTTTACAGCCTGGTACAAAAAACAGTTTTGGTCTCAATAGCTAAGTTCCCTGTTTATGACAACTGTACAAGGGTGAACCTTTATATTACTCACCCATTTTGATTTTATTAAAGCTTAAAGATACTCATAGTTAAGGGCAAGGCTGCTTTGAATGACAGGCTGTCTGCCAGGCATTGCTGCAGTCTGTGACTCAGATCTACTCCTCACTCATCCACAGCTTCACCACCTCGTCCAAATATAGTTTAGTTTAGTTTCATTTATTTGAGAAGGGACATTACAAATGAACAAATACACATGGTATAAAAATGCCACAATTAACGAAGGGGCTATTTTTCTTTTGTAGTCCGTTAAGCAAAGGTGTTACAAAAGGCTTCTTAAAATACAACAAAGAAACAAAAAGTTAAAAAAAAAATATATATACAGTACAGGCCAAAAGTTTGGACACACCTTCTCATTCAATGCGTTTTCTTTATTTTCATGACTATTTACATTGTAGATTCTCACTGAAGGCATCAAAACTATGAATGAACACATGTGGAGTTATGTACTTAACAAAAAAAGGTGAAATAACTGAAAACATGTTTTATATTCTAGTTTCTTCAAAATAGCCACCCTTTGCTCTGATTACTGCTTTGCACACTCTTGGCATTCTCTCCATGAGCTTCAAGAGGTAGTCACCTGAAATGGTTT